TAAGGCTGGAAAGATAAGGGGTTTTTTTGCTTTTTTTTTTTTGGTTAGGCAATAGGGTTAAGTGACTTGCCCAGGGTCACACAGCTAGTAAATGTTACGTGTCTGAGGCCGAATTTGAACTCAGGTCCTCCTGAATCCAGGGCCGGTAGTCTATCCACTGTGCCACCTAACTGCCCCCTGGAAAGATATGTTGAGGCCAGATTGTGATGGGATTTAAAAGCTAAATAGAAGAGTATACTTTATCACAGCGGCAACAGGAAGTCACTAGGGGTAGCTAGGTGGCGCAGTGGATAAAGCACCAGCCCTGAAGTCAGGAGGACCTGAGTTCAATGGCCTCAGACCAAACATTTGATATTTACTAGCTATGTGACCCTGGGCAAGTCACTTAACCCCAATTGCCTAAAAAAAATAAAACAAAACAAAAAAGAAAATATATTTTAAAAAAAGAGGAAATCACTAGAATTGATTTGAATAGGCAAGTCACATGAACAGATATATGCTTAAGGAAAATGAGCAGCAGTGTGTAAGATGAACTGGGACTCGAGGAAGAAAGACCATTTAGGAAGCTGCTTCAATAATTTAGAGTAAGAAAGACTAGGGCTTGAAAAAAGTGATAGGTGTGAGAGTAGAGATGTGGTGTTCGAGATGTTGAGATAGCTAGGTGATACAGTGGATAAGGCACTGGACCTGGAGTCAAGGAGATCGAGTTCAAATCCACCCTCACATATTTACCCTGGTTAAGTCACTTAACTTCTGCTCGCCTGAGTTTCCTCAACTATGAAGTTGAGATAACAATAGCACCTACCTCGAAGGGTTGTTGGAGGATCAAATGAGATAATTGTAAAGCGCATAGCACAGTGCCTGGAACCTAGTTGAAGTTATTCCTTTCCCCCTGATAAAATGACTTGCCCAGAGAAAAACAGATAGGAAGAATCTGCCATCAACCCCACCACTCTCCCCAACTAGCTGAACTGAGATAATTGGTGAAGACCTGACTAGACAAAGCTCTGCTTTGCTTACCTCTCCAGTCTTACCATGTCCAGCCTCCCTCTCTACTGTGTGCATGGGATAACTAAGTTATTTTACCTAGAGGGTGTCAGGCCCTAGGTAGCACTAAGTTATGAACTCTAGACCTTCTCACTTCTGCACTTTATGATCCCCAGGCCCACCTTCTTGCCAATCTTTCCTTTCTCCCCTCCTAGTTGAAGACCGATATCCCACCTATCCCACCAACCCCATTCCCATACCTGTTGGAGAGAACTCAGAGTCCTCACTGTGTTCTGACCGTTAACCTTATTTCCTCTTTATCCAATAGTAGTGGGCTGATCCCTTCCAGATTCTTTGTCCTGAAAGCCAGACATCCAAATGCACCCTAAGGACGATGGGGCCTTGCCATCTACCCTGCTGATGAATCCTTAGACTCTGTGGGTCCTTGATCTATCCTGCAGCTAAACTTTCCCATATGTGTTGTCTCTTCCAATTAGAGTGCAAGATCCTTGAGAGCAGGAAAAACACTGTATTTCTGTTTGTATCTCCCCTACTTATCATAGTGTTTGGCACATAGTAAGCAATTTCTAAATGTTGTTTCCTTCCTTCCTTCCTGAGTGTGAAGGTTGGTTTATCACAAAATCATTTGCTTAGACAGCTATTGTGGCTAAAGCCAGAAAGTAATATGGGCAAGAGAATCTGAGCACTTCCCATTTTCAGTTATTTCCAAAAGGAAATACTCCAAAAGGAACCCTAACCCATTTGATTAAAGGAATAGGGAGCTAAATTATCCCCCTAGTTTCTAATGTCTTCTCCCCAAATTACTTTGTTTTTAGTTTGTATATATTTTTGTGTCTACTTTTTCTGTGTACATGTTACTCTCCCAAAGTAGAATATGAACTCCTTGAGAGCAGGAAATAATTTCTTTGGATCTTTTTTATCTTCCAGCATCTAGTGTAGGGCCTTGAACATAGTAGGCACTTCATACATCCTTATTGAATGAATAAATGAACCTTTCTCATTTTAAATTTGAGAAACTGAAGTCCAAAGGGGTAAAATACGTTGCCAATGTTGTAAGTACTAGAGCCAAGATTTTAAATCAGATCCTTGGTCTCCAAATATAATACTTATTCTTCTTTTAATTTTTTTCTTTTTTTTTGTTCTGAATTTAACATATCAACAATCATGAACATTTCAACATATAAGGTGCAAGAAAAGAGGATTGTACATGAATCTATGAGTCTATTACATGTACATATTTTTTAAAGCATGCAAGGTGTCCCAAAAAACTGAGTGCAGTTTTTACACTACAGACTGCACTAAGATTTTTGAGACACCTTGTATATTAAATTTAACATGAAGGTACCAATACTGTCCTGCTCAACTGTGGCTTCTTCTGAACTTCCTTCTGCTCTCTTCTGTATAATTTTTAAATGTTTTATCAATACCTTTTCTTTATTCTTTTTTTTTTTATCATTATCATTACCTACCCACTCCTCTCCATTCCCCTCAAATTAAAGCTCTCCCTTGTTTAATGCTCTTTCTGCCACAGCAGGCTGCCTCTCTGAAGTAAAGAGATAGTAAGGTGATTGGAACGTCAAGGATTGAGACTTAATTATAATAGCTAACATTTATGTAGCACTTACTATGTGCCAGGTACTGTGCTTAGCTCTGTACATTTGATCCTCACAACAATTCTGGGAGGGAGGTGCTATTATTATCTCTATTTTACAGATGAAGAAAGTGAGGCAAACGAAGTTTAAGTGATTTGCCCAAGGTCACATAGCTAGTAAGTGTCAGAGGCTGGAGTTGAACTCATGTTTTCCTGACTCCAGACCCACTGCTCTGTGAATTACGGCACTACCTAGCAAGGCGATCCAACCCAACCCTTGCCCCAGTCCTGTGCTTGATGTGGTTTGGAGTTGCTTGGAACCCCAAAATATCAGGGCAGGAGTGATGAGGGGGGAGTGGTCTGCCTGAAAAGAATTCAAGCACTCAAACCTTCTTCCAGTCAAAGTGCTCTACATCATACTCTCCTTAGTAGAATCAAAGAACTATGTTTTATGTAGATAACAGGTGCCTGTGACAGGATTTGGCCCAAGTCTTCCTGATTCCAAGTTCAGTGCTCCATCCACTACACCATGTTGTCTTTTTCTCTCATGGATACCTCCCCTCCAATTTTCTGATTCACCAATAGCAGGAAAATAGGAGGGCTAGTGAGGTCTATGCCCAGACGTTCACCTAGATATTCCACTTCTACTTCAAACTGGACATATCCAAAATTAATCTTATTTCTCTTAAGCAAACATCCCTTCCTATTTTGGTCAGTGGAACCACCAGTTCCCCAGTCTTAAAACCTGGAAGCCATCTTTGACTCCTCTTTTCTTTCCCATATCTAATCTGTAGACTCTGAGGATCTTGTTGACTCAGGCTAGAACCTTATAGTCAAGAGTTACTCATATTTATATAATGCTTTAAGATTTGCAAAGCATTTTCTGTAAACCCTGTGAAGTGCCATAGGCATTATTTCCCTCCTTTTTATAGATAAGGAAACTGAGGCCCAGAAAGGATAAGTGACTTGCATAAGGTCACATAGCTTGTAAGTGTCAAAGGCAGGATTCAGACCCAGATATTTCTAATTCCAAGTCCAATGCTCAGTGGACTATGTGACATTGTCCTTGATAGACTGAATGATAAAATTGTTATAATAACTTGTGGCTATGATTCCAAGGTTCTAAGTTCTGTGATTCTAAGATTCTATTGTTCTGTGCATCTAAGATTACAGATTTATGACTCATATTTGTTACAAGGGTTTTGTTTTCCTTTTTTTTCCTTTTCAATGGAAGAGGTGGGAAGGAGAGAAAATACTTGTTAATTGAAAATAATTTTATTAAAAAAACAAAAATGTCTATGGTTCTAAGTTATTTTCATCTGAAGTTATATGATTCTACAGTTCTATTAGTCTGAGATTTATTTTGAGCTTAGGAAAATTTCAGTGACCCCTTCATACTTCCTGTTTTGATGTCAGTGTGATCATTTTTCAACTATGCTAGATATCTATATATCACTCTTTTCCTCTTTTCAAATAATGCACCAATGAACTAAAACTGAAAACAATGTTTTTATTTGCTTGAATAAATATAGGTGCAGAGATGCAAATGTTTCCTCTTATATTCGGGTTGGGGGTAGGGATTGACACCTAGGGTGAATAGTTGGAATGGGGAGCTGGTGAATAGCTCAACATCCTCTTCTGGTGCCTCTAGCTGTTCTGGGATCCTGTCTTTGGGCACCTAGAGGCTTTCAAAAGTAAGCAGAAAACCAAGCAAGCTTGAAGACAAGCAAGGAGTGGACTCAGGTCTGTCACCACACATAGGTATGAGAGGCCATCCACATGGTAGAGGTTAAGGGGGCACTGCTAGAGACCACCCATCTTACCAAATAGGTGGAAAGCTCCATGGGCAGAGTAACCATCGGATCATATAGCAAAGGCAGAAACTTTCTTTTTAGAGGGGAAAATGTATTTTTTTATGAACTAGAAAGGGAACAAGGGCCTCTAGCTCTTTCCCATGATCCTGTTAGCATGAATAAATTTATCAGATTGTATAGATAATGACTGTGGAAAGCATAGAGAGCCTGCTCCTTAGAAGATAAGATACAGTACAGGTTAAGTGGTTTGCCCATATTTATATAGTTAGCAAGTGCCAGAGGCAGGAGCCAGGAAGACCTAGGTTCAAATTCTGCCTCAGACACTTGTTTTGTGGGCTATGGTTCTATGTTTCTACCAAGGGTAGTATGGCATAGTGCACAGAATGATGGCCTTGAAGTCATGAAGACTGAGATTGGGGAAAGGTAGAATCTGGTAATAATAAAGTCTGGGTGGCCAGAGGGAAGGAGAAGCATGGGTTGGAAGGGCAGGCCCATATGGGATAGATCAGTAGGGGCAGTTTGAGGAGGAGCATGAGGGAGGATGTACCAAAGAGAAGGGTCACTGAAAACCTTCACTTGCTTTTCAGCTTGGCCTTAGAAGAACCCTTGATAACTCTGACATCAGAAACATTGGCCTGAATCCAAGTGTCAATAGGATGAATTGGGATGTAAACTTCAGGGAGGCCATTAGAAGAGCAAGGTCCCCAGGTCATCACCCCTAGCAGCACCCACTGACCAGCAAAGAAGCAAAGGAGAGTACTGCCATCTGCCACCTAAAAGGAGAGAGAAGAGTCACTGGATCAAGGTGCATCTTGCATGGGTAGGGGGTGGGGAGAGGAAGGGGAGACCAAAACAAATACCAGGCTTTGAGCCTGTATAAGCGGAGGGGAGACAGCTCCAGGCAGAGTCCTCACCATGATCTCTGGAGAACTGACAGGAGGGCCAGTGCACAGGGTCCCATTTGACATGCTTATCTCTGGACTGGGGCAGTCAGATTAGAGCTGGAAGATGGCTTGACAATTGGTTTGAGACACAAGAGGCATCTCAACATCCCACAGCTCGTCAGGTGGGATGTAGGGGTCTAGGGGAAGGCAAGAGAAGAGAAGAGGCTGACCCTTTTTTCTTTTAGCTTGGGGTCAGGGTTGGAAGGGATCTGCAAGGAGAAAAGACTGATTTCAGCTCCTGCCCCTCAAGTCCAGTTCCCAACATCTTTAAGGAGAGATGGAGGAAGAGAAGGAGAAGTTGAATAATCCCTCACTTGCAAATTGGCCTGGAAGACCTCTGAGAAGTAGGGTTTGGGTTTGGCCTTGGATTCACTAAGCTTCTACCCTTCTCTATTCACAGTAGAGGCATGGACTGGTCAAAAAGAGGAGGGTGTGGTCTAGAAGTCCCCTGTGACACTAACTCCCATTTTGACAGCAACATCTCACCAGCTTGAGTCCCACCTCACTTTTGAAGTTAGTGACACTCCTAAGGCTCTCTAGGGTACACCTTCTTTAGACCATTCTTCCCTTACTTCTGGTTTCAGTTTCTATGCTATGTGATTTGCCTAGGGTCCTAATGATAAGGCCATCTCATATTCATACAATATTGTATACTTTTTCAAAGTACTTCACATCCATTATCTCATTTAATTCTCATAACAATCCTGTAAGGCACTTATCCTTATTTTAGAAGAAACCAAGCTCCATAAGAGATTTGCTCGAAGGCAAACTGAAAGAGACTTTAGAAATTATCTAGTTCAATACCCACATTTTACAGATAAAGAAACTGAGGCCCAGAAAGGGCAAATGATTTGCCCAAAGTCACACAGTGGATTAGTAATGGTGGAGCTGGGACAAGAACTCATGTCTCCTAATGCCCAATCTAGTATTCTTTTCACTATAAGCACTATAACAGCCTCCTATGCCTGTGAAACCTGCCCTAGGACCAGCTGTATCTTCCCCTTACACTCACCTCCCTTTTGGGGTCCTAATTTGGTCCCAACCCCTGCCATCCAACTCCAATATCTCAGTCACATGATCTCCTGGCCTCATCAATTGTCCTTACCAAAATCTGGTTTAAAGCCCTGAGCCCAGCAAGTCTTCCTCCAAGGGAAAAAAATGGAGCCCTGGACCAGAGATATGGGGTAGATAGAGCTGTTGTTGGAAGGAGGCTGTGTTAACTTCACCAGAACCAGACTTCCAAGCTTACTATCCACAAGGCTCCTAGGGATCGGGATCAGTTCCTCAACAAGAGCAAGACTTCAGCATTCTGCAGATTCAGCCGTCGCTGACCCAGACCCACAGTGAAATGGGAAAGAGGAAAGCTATGAGGGAGAGACAGGTGTTGAAAAAGGCAACTTAATCAGGAGTGAGGCAGCCACAAAAAGAGGCAGATAGAACAGGGATGCTATCCAGACTCCTCCTCCTGACTTCCTGACTTCTATTTGAGGGTACTGCCATTCTCCCAATCATTCAGGCTCACAACCTCAGTCATCCTTGACTTTTTAATCTTACTCAGTCCTTCTTAGCCAGTGAGTTGCCCAGTCTTGTCTATTCTACTTCCCCAACATCTCTTGCATATCTCCTTTCAACTCATGGCATTGGTTCAAATGCTCAACATCTTTCTTGCAAACTATTTCAACAGTCTTTTAACTGGCTCTCCCTTGATCTATTTTCTCCCTTTTCCAGTCCATCCTTCACATAGCTGACAAATGGATATTTCTATAGCCCAGGTCCAGCCATATCTCTCTCCTGTTCAAGAAGCTTCAGTGGCTCCCCAGGACCCTTAGTATAAAACACAAACTCATGTTTGCCATTTAAAGCCCATCACAAGTTGGTTTTAGCTTACCTTTCCTGGCTTTCTGCCCGTTATTCCTCTTTATGCAGTCTTTATATTTCACCCAAATTGATCATCATATTGATCCTGATATAGGTTCCTCATACATGATATTCCTTCTAAATGTGAACAGTCTGTTCCTCAAACTGACAATGCTCTCCCTCCTCACATTGACTTCTTGGAATCCCTAGCTCCATTTGAGGTTCGGCTTAAGTACCACCTTCTATACAAGGCCTTTCCTAATGTCCCCAATTGTTAGAGCTCCCATCTCCAGTTATTATATATCTTGTATTTATTTATCTGTTTACATGTTCCCAGGTAGAATGTATGTTCCTTGAGGGGAAGAGGGTTGGGAATGGAATTGCTTTTGTCTCAGTAACTAACACACAACAGCTGGTACCTAGTAGGTGCTTAATAATAAACGTGTGCTGATTAATTGATTCTAAATTGATCTAAGCTGTCTCAATGAAGGTGAATCCTACCACTGAGGAGGTCTGGCTCTCCCTTCCTCTCTCCCTTCCTTCCTCCCTCCCTTCCTTCTTTCCAGACCCAGAAGACTTTGTGGTAAGGCTTGCTGCTAGGGCCAAAGTGGCTGTTGTAGCGAGCAGCTGTGATCAACCAAATGAAGATTCGCACCAGGCTTCCTTTCCTTTTTTTTTTTTTGGTGAGGCAATTGGGGTTAAGTGACTTTCCCAGAGTCACACAGCTAGTAAGTGTTATGTGTCTGAGGCCAGATTTGAACTCAGGTTCTCCTGACTCCAGGGTCAGTGCCCTACCCACTGTGCCACCTAGCCGCCCAAGGCTTCCCTTCCTAACCATCTCCTTGGCACTCACCTTCCAAAGCAGTTGATTAAAGTGATCACCCACTCTGAAGAGATGAGGGCTCCTTCACAGCGGTACCTAGCATCCAGGAAATTGCTGGCTAGCCAGGGCCATGAACTAGGGCTGGCCTTCTTCGTGAGGGCTTCAGTGGGACCATATCCTAATCCAGTAGAGGATCTACTGCTTAGGTACTTGAGGAGGGAGTTTGAGGAAAGCTGTCTTCCAGCTGCTTTAGGAGCAAAGCCTTTGGTCTGAGGGTCATCTGAGGAGAGAAACATCTGGGGTCTTGGAATATTCATTAATAATAAATTCAAACATTCTATAAGCATCTATGCTGCACAGCCCCATGCTAAGTGCTATGGGAGATACACAAGTGCATGAGATATACTCTTGCCTTTAGGAATGTGTAATTGGGGAGACGGGCACATAGGTATAAATACAACGTAGCATACTGAATAGAGGCAAATGAAGAGTACACACATTATACACCATAGGAGGTCAAATGATTGTGGGTTAGGCCAGTCAAGAAAACTTCACAGAAAAGTAGGAATTTAAGATGAGTTTCTGAGGATATAGAATTTCTAGATGTGGAGATGGGAAAGGAAGGGGAGAGAATTTCAATCAGGAGAAGAATATGAGGCAAGGCATGAAGGCAGAAATTCAAGATGTGCTTTAAGGATAAGGAGTAGGCTAACCTTGCTGAAGCAGAATATTTGGACAAGAAGAGTAAATAAGGATGATATTTTCCATTGGGGTTGTGGAGGACCTTGAGTGACAGGAGGAAACATTTGGACTTTATTCAACTGATAATGATGAACTACAGTACTGATAGTTTCTGAAGAGGAGTGTGATATGATGAAAGTGGCATTTTAGGAGAATTCATCTAGTGGCCATCATCATGCAGTAGATATAATATTGGGCATGGAATCAGGAAGGCCTGGTTTCAAACCCCATCTCTTTCTATTTTGTGACCTTGGATAAATAACTTAACCCCTAAGTTGCCTTAAGCATAGATCATGGATCCTTCAGGCATTTAGGTAATGTGGTTGAGGTTGGTAAGAATGGGATGGAGATAAGAGACACTGGAGATGGCAAGAGCAGAAAGGAAATATGGCAAATGATATTAGATTGTTTTAAAGAGAATCCCCAATTTTCTTTTTTGGCATTTTCTTTTTTTGCCTTTTTCTCATTTTCTAAGTTTTTTTTTTTAATTTTAAAAAAAATCAATTTTTTAAAATTTAAAAAAAAATTAATTTTAATTTTTAACTTTTTAATTTTTTCAAAATAAAGAGGTAGCCATTTACATCTATTCTCTTAAGCAATCATGTTTATAAGTAAATTAAAAATTTTTTTTAATTAATGAAAATCCACTTTCTCTCCCTTCCACCTCTTCCCAAGCCCTCATTGAAAATAGAGGAAAACAAAACCCTTGTGACAAATATACATACTCAAACAAAGCAAATTCCCATGCTGACTGTGTCAAAAAAAAAGTCTCAATTTTCATCCTGAGTACATCACTGGGCATTAGATTATAAAGGTCTTGGGCAAATTATTTCCCCTCTTTGAGTTTTGGTTTGTCTCTAAAAAACACCCATCTGTTTTCAAAGCTGTTCAATGAAGATAAAATACTTGCACTACATACTTTATAGGACTGTTGTTAGGAAAGCAATTTGCAAATTGTTAAACGTTGCATGAATGTGAATATTCTAGTACTGTATGGGAAAAATGATTGTGGAGAAGAGTTGTGGGATCAGACCAAAACATTCCAGGCAGATATAGAGGCCCTAGAGAAAGCAGAAATCCCTGGGAATGTCTGTGGAATTGCATGGAAATACTTTGTACAAAACTCTAGTTTGTCATCCTACCAGAGTCCCCAAGCAGAAACCTCAGAATCAGCTAACTCCTCCTATTTGAACATAAACAGGCTCTGCTTGTCCTCTCTTTCTACGCTTTGATAAGAAGTCACATTTATAGAGCAGTTTAAAGTTTGCAAAGCAAACCCTGAGAATATAATTGATACAAATAAGGAAAATGAGTCTCAGAGAAGTTAAGTGACTTGTCCGTGGTCACACAGCTAGTAAATGTCTTAGGTGAGATTTGAAACTAGTTCTCCCAACTCTAAGACCAGTACTCTTTTTCCTAAATAGCTACCATTTAAAGATCGCAAAGCTTTCTCTCTCTCTCTCTCTCTCTCTCTCTCTCTCTCTCTCTCTCTCTCTCTCTCTCTCTCTCTCTCTCTCTCTCTCTCTCCCATTTGATCCTCACAACAACCCTGAGATGTATGTCTTATTATTATCCTCATGAAGAAATTGAGGCAGGTAGAGATTAAGTGACTCACCCAAGCTCACATAACTAGTGTATATCTCAGGTCAGATTTTAACTCAGGTCTTCTTGACTCCAGATCCAGTATTCTGTTCACTGTACTACTTTGGGACTTTGTACCATGCCATCTCTATATTCCCACCTTACTTCTCCTGCAGGACCCCAAAGGGAAATTGAGTTCATTCCCAATTTAAGTGTGAATCTGACTCTCAAACAAGATTGTGAACTCTGAAAGCTCAAGGGTTCTGACCCTCAGGCCCCAGCACCTCCATGACAATCCCTCTCTGCTGGCAGGGTCATCAGCATCAGCTTTCTGCCAAACTGGGTTTCCCTTCTATGTGCTTCAGCATCTTGTCCCTCAGGGTCCCATACCCATCACCTACCCTTTCACCCTGCCCAGCTCTCACACCTGGCAGTGGCAACAACAGTAGCAGCTCTGACAGGAGTACATTCAGTACAGCTCCCATATCTCTCTGTTTCACCACAAATCCTGCCTATTTTTCTGGTCTGACTCCCTTCCTATTCCGTGTACCCTTTCCATCACTCCACCCATCCTCCCCTGGGCAGGGTCTACGTTACTAGGAGTTAGAAAAACAAAAAGGAGAACTGAGAAACTCTCTTGAAAAGAAGGGGGAAACCACTTTCCTATGGGGGAAGTCATACAGTCACAGAGACATAGAAAGTGGAAGGGATGTTAGAGACCATCTGGTCTAGACTCCTCATTACATAGCTAAGAAATCTGAGATCTGAGGACTTGTCCAAGGCCACACAGAATGTCAGTGGTAAAGATGAGACTATAACTCGGGGAAGTCTTTTCTCCTGACCTCTATCATAAAGCTTATTTGTTGTTGTTCAGTTGTTTCAGTCGTGTCTGACTCCTCATGATCCTATTTGGGGTTTTCTTGGCAAAGATATTGAAGGGGTTTGCCATTTCTTTCTCCAGCTTATTTTGCAGATGAGGAAACTGGGGCAAACAGGGTTAAGTGACTTGCCCAGGATCACACAGCCAGGAAGTGCCAGAGGCTGATTTGAACTTAGGAAGATGAATCTTCCTGACTTCGGGCCTGGCACTCTATCTACTGTGCCACCTAGCTGCCCATAAGGCTTATTACTGACCCTCCTTTCATGAACATATATTTCTCCTAAACATATTCAAAGAATCTCACGGTTTAGGATCCTTTCACTTTACCCATCTAAGCAGATTATACTCAACAGAGTCTCACTATGTAAGTCCTTCTTTGAAAATAGGAATGAGGGGCAGCTAGGTGGTGCAGTGGATGGAGTACCCACTCTGGAGTCAGAAGGACCTGAATTTGAATCTGCCCTTGGATACATAACACTCACTAGCTGTGTGACTCTGGGCAAGTCACTTAACCACAATTAGCCTCACCAAAAAAAGAAAATAGGAATGTAATTTTATGGAGCTGACAGAATTAGGTGAGGGGGACTAGAGGCCATGCCATATGTGCACCAAGAGAAGGAAATAGGGGTATTTTACCTGGAGTAGGAAAGATTTTGTAAGGACCTGATCTCGTTCTTCAAGAATTAGAAGAGTTAGAAGATACTCATAGGAAAGAAGGAACAGACAGACCAATTAGCTCATCATATGAAAAAAAAAAAAACCAAAAACTTTCTCAAATTAGAGTTGTCCAAAAGTGGAAAGGGCCATCCTAGGAAGCAGACTGGCTCCCTCTCACTGGAGATTTTCAGGTGACTGTTGTGTGGCCTCCCATGAGGAATGTTGTAGAGGGGATTCCTGCATGGTCATAGGTTAGAAGATCATACAGTGTCAGGGTCGAATGGCCATTAGAAGTCATTCATTTACTCCACATCAAACCTGAACAAGAATCTACAAGATCCCCAACAAGTGGTCATATAGCTTTCACTGGAAGTCCTCCAGTGAGGGAGAAGTCACTGCTACCCAGCAAAGTCCATTCTGCCTTTGAGGAGTTTCACTTGTAAGTTTTTGTTTTTTTTTTAAACAGCATGCCAAAATCTCCCCCTCTGGGGAAGTCAGAATGAGTTTAAACCCTCTGCCACAGAAATGATCTTCATTTCATTTACCCTCTGAGTCTTCTTCCCAGGCTGAGCAAGAAGTTATTCTTATTATTAGAATATTCTTCTTGGAGCAGCTAGGTGGTGCAGTGGATAGAGCTCCGGTCTTGGAGTCAGGAGGACCTGAGTTCAAATGTGACCTCAGACACTTGACATGTACTAGCTGTGTGACCCTGGGCAAGTCACTTAACCCCAATTGCTTCAGCAAAAAAAAAAAAGGAATATTATTCTTATTAGAAGCTTATTCCCACTTCCTTTAACTGGTACCCATATGACAGCCTTTCCATCATTCTGGTTGCCCACCTTCTGATGCTCTCCAATTTTTCAATATCCTTTCTAAAATGTGACTAGATGATTTCTAGTCTCCCTTCAAATTGTGATTCTATGAAATTTTATCCCAAAAGAAGATATGCAAATCATTGTTCATCAAAAATGGAAAATTAGCTCAATCAGATAATCAGGTAATGATTTCCCATGGAAAGTTTTAGCAACTCTTTATAGTAACACTCTTCAATCAGGCAAAGAAAACACAGGTATTGAAAAAAGATGGAAAGTTGAAGTTCATGAAAGGTGACATGAGAGGAAGAGCACTGGGTTTGAATCCTGCCTTTGACACTACCTGGATAACCTTGGTGAAGTCACTTAATTTCTCTGGGTGTCTGTTTCCTCATCTATAAAATGAGGATGTTGGGTTAGCTGTCAAATGGAGTCACGAAGAGTTGGAAATGACTGAACCACCACCACAGCTGTAGTCACATCACTCTGCTAGCGATGCATTGTGTTGCTATTTGTGTATATAATAAGACGTATACATGCTTTGTCATTTTATAGGCCTATTGATATTGTATTGCATTGCACGGTATTGCAGTTTGCATTGTTTTTGCTGATACATATATATTTTGCATTATGAATCTGCATGCACTATTTTGATATGTACACATTGCACATAATTTAGACTTTCAGTAACATAACTTTACCTTGTGCTATGATGTTTTTTATCTGTGAATGGCATTATGAGAGGGATACTGGGGATGCTGGGGTAATAATACTTGTTATTTTAAGTGTTGATGAATATTTTTGCTTGTTTCACATGTTTACTTCCACATTTCTGGCCTTAGGGAGGAATGTAGCCCCCTTTTTGGCATGACCATGGAAGCCTTGGGGAAAAGAGACTTGCCTGCTGACCAGGCTGTTTACCCAAGATTCTCCATGTCTCAGTGGTCTTACCCCCAATCTTAACCTTGGTAGATTTCTGGGATGAAAGAGGAAAAAACGTTTGTGGTAGTTGAAGTAGAAGCCTTCAGAGTTAACAGAGGGTCAGTCCAGCATGGATCTGGATACTATGAGGCATTCAGAACATGAGTTAGGGGTTGTGCTGGACCTGCATTGCTGACCAATCATGAGCAAAGTGTATGAAACTGTGACCTTCTCTCTCTTCTTTCCTCCCTCCAGGGAAAAGAAGTCATGTCCTGTTTCTCAGCCAGTCCTTCACTTCCATGTCTTGGCTGTTTCATCCAATACTATGACTTTTTAAGTCTTCCTTAATTTTATGCTAATATTATTTAACAGGTTATTTATAAACAACTTGCTGGCCAGCAAGGTTATTAAATATTCAAAGAGGTAATGAAAGAGGAGAATCCCATTCCTAAAAATGGGAGATACTTTTTGTTCGATGAAACTTGACTGCATGAGGAGAGGGAGGGGAAGGGAAAGAGGGAAAAGAGAAAGGGGAAGAGAAGAGGGGAAAGGGAGAAGAAGGAGGAGGAGGAGGGGGGAAACAAAGGGAATGGGAGAGGGAAAAGGGAGGGAAAGAGGGAGAGAGGGAGAAAGAAAGCTTATTTATTTTCCCTACACCTTGCAGGGTGCACGTGAAACTTACAAAGTCACCATCTGAAACTTATAGCTATACCTCCACACAATGAGTCTAGAAAGCCATTCCATGGAGCTAAGAAAAGCTGCTTGACTACCTGAAAGAAATACCTGATTAGGGTGGGAAGTGCGGGAGAGGGAATTGGGGGGAGAGTAGAGATGTGCATTGCCTCCTGGCCCATGCTGGAGAGCTCGAGTGCGCCAAGGGCCAGCTCCAGTGGCTCTACCAGTGCCCAAGGTAGTCAGGATCAGGAGCCTTGCCTGGAGTTAGAGGGCTGCTCTCATTGCTCATGAGTTCGCCGTGTTGGTTGGACATTTAAAAGCAAAATTCTTAGACCACGTAGGTAACCTAGTTTTTTGTATGAAGACTATGGTCATCAGAATTATTGAGTAGTTTTGTACTTTCTTTGAGGATCAGAGGAATTTACTGTGGAAAGAAAGAAGGACACCTCATGAAGACACTTTGAAGAATATGTTCTTTCAGATTCTGACCTGTGAAGTGCCAATGAAATTTACATAGTTTTGCTAGGCCTAGTTTCTTTCAATTGTGTTTTGATCCTGGGTAATTGTGTGTAAATTGGTGCAATGTGTTTTCATGCTGTCTAAAGGCCCTTCAGAGTCAGGCTTATGGTTATCTAGATGGGGACTGTCCCTCACAAGGGAGGTAAAAAAGAGTCCTCAGAGAAGTCCTGCCACCACTTTTGTATTTATATTTTTCTCATCCTTCCCCCTGCTCCTAGACATGTATTTGGGGCCATGTCAATAATCATATTAACCATTTGGCATCATCATAATGACATCAAAATATCTTTCCTTAGTACTCCATCAAGCAACATGCTAACTGGTTGGTGGGACATCTGGAAGAGAGCCAGAGGGTGCCTGATTGACCTTGGGTGATTTAATATTGGACTGGCTCAAGGTACAGACTCAAGGTACGGGCCCTTGTTTTGGGGAGATTTTCTGCTATGTTCTACCACCAGCCACCCTACTCACACTCTGAACCATTGAACAGTAATCCCAGAGATAATCCCTGGTGTTATATGTGACATATTCATCGGGCTGAATACATTTCAAAGTGTGTTCAAATACAGCATTTCATTTGATTTTCACAGCTATATGAAGGAGGCAGGATTATTACTCTTCCTATTTTTATTATTATTATTTTTAAATTTTTTACTTTATATTTTATTATTAGTTTATTTTTATTATATACTATATATAATAAAATATAATTTTATTTATTATTATATTATTATTATTCCTATTTTACAGATCAGTTAACTAGGCTCAGGGGATATAAGTGATTTGCACAAGGATCCATAGTGAATTAGTGGCAGAATGAGCTAGCATTTATGAAGCTCCTACTATGTGCTAGGCACTATGCTAAGCACTTGATTTGATCATTTGATCCTTACAACAACCCTGGGAGGTAGGTGCTATTATCATCCCTATTTTATAGGTGAAGGAACTGGGGCAGACAGAGGTTAAGTGACTTGCCCAATGACACACAACTAGTAAGTGTCTGAGGCTGGATTTGAGCTGGTCTTCCTGACTCGAGGCCCAGAGCTCTACCTACTTTGCTACCTCAGGTCACTTATTATCTACTTCTCTTCACTATACCATGAAGACTTCAGAAATATCGTTATGTAAACATCCAGACAAATTAGAGAAACTGGGGGCAGCTAGGTGGTGCAATGGATAGAGCACTGGCCCTGAAGTCAGGAGGATCTGAGTTCAAATCCGAACTCACACCAAACACTTGACACTTACTAGCTGTGTGACCTTGGGCAAGTCACTTAACCCCAATTGCCTAAAAAAAAAAATTAGAGAAACTGTAAAATTTGTTATTGATGGTCAGTCTCCCGTAGAACATTAAAGATTATCTGTTTAAACCTTCACTGATGAAGAAACTGAGACCCAGAGAGATGAGATGACTTGCCCCTCCTTTCAGATCCTTACCCTGTTGTAGCTACTTGCTCTTCACCATCTTGAGTTGTTTTTCTCTGGATCTTGCTTTCAGCTATCTCCCCTTCCCAGATTTTAGCTAAAAAAGGCTTACAAGGTTCCCCCTCTAAGCTGCCTCTGGGAGGGGGCTCAATCTTTTGGAGAGAAAAGTCTTTAAAATAGTAAGAAATGAAGAACGAATGATAAAATTTCAGGCATTGTGGTAAGCTGATGTGAGAAATATTCTCAGGCAGAGCAGACTTTCTCAAACCACACAACATCAACCACCATCTATCATCCTTTATATACATAAGACAAATCTTGGGACCATGTCACCAGATCAGGCCAGGACTGAGGACCAGCAGTCAATGAAAAAATGATAAGACTCTCCTACACTCATTCATTCACTCACTCAAATATTCAATGAGCATTTATGAAATAATATGTATTAGGTGCTGTGCCAAGTCCTAGGGGACTGGGGGGTACCAAAGCTACAGCTGACAGTCATCTTTAGCTCCCGTTCTCTGGGCATGCTGTCAAGTGAAGCTCCAACAGCCTGATGTTTAGAACTGAATTAGAATAAGGAAGTAAGTGGTAAGCAAGGCTGGAGGCCAGTGAAGAGCATGAATGGCAGGTCCAGATAGTCATGACTGGGTCCTAGCCACAGTGATTCAAATGGCTTCCAGCTGGTTTCTGGAGGAAGATCATCAATGCTCCTGAGGAGACTTACAACCTCATCATACCCACCTCACCTACAAAAGGAGCCAGCAACTTCTCTTAAGTAACCCCCTACTCTCTCCACCCACCCACCACCAGCCTGGAAGAGAACTTAGAATCCATTTTACAGGTGAAGAAACTGAGACTGTGGAAAGGTTGGGTGGCTATTCCATAGTCACATTGCTAAATAGAGTTAAGATTCAAATCCAGGTTTCCACTCTTTGTGTTTAGACAATCAGCTCTCAGTTCTCTAGAACAAGAGCACAATATCCCCTGAACAGTGTTAGACACACACTGACAAATTCTTACTCTTTGGTTTTCCCTCTTCCCACACCCCCTCTTCTCCTGTTGTCATTTATCACACATAACTTTTTCCAAAATTATGTTTTGTTTTATATTAAGTACATGCAAATTGGCATTTAATCCTTGGTGGGATGTAGTAGACACCCTACATTTGGAAAGCCCCCTATTCTTATCCTTATTCACAAATCTCTCCAAGGGTGGGTTGCTTCTATGGCTGGCTGATCCCATTCTTTTTTGTTCATTTGTATTAGTTTCAGTTTCAGAGTGTGACATTTCCTGACTTTGCCCCCTGATGTGGCCCTAAGAGTGGCCCTGTTTGCAGCCTGAAGCTTCCTATGCACTGTCAGGTCAGATTATTTGAATGGAATATCTAATCTACTTGCCTCATTTAAAGATGAAGAAACTGAGTCTCAGAAGGATGAAGTGACTTGCCTAAGGTTACATAACTAGTTTATGGCAGAACTAGTTCATTCAATTAATTATTTATTTATTTACTAATATATATAGAGTAAATTTAAATTTGCACAGTATTCCATGTACATAATTTTATTTACAGCTTACAAGGAAGGAAGGCATTTTTCTCCCATTTTATTACCTCCATGAAGAGAGTTTTAGTAATTTGTTCTTGATTATAACTCTTGGACATAGGCCAGGTCTTCCTGACTCTGAGTCTAATACACCATCCACAGCACCATTATGCCTCTCATTTACATAGAAAACCTTCTGACTGAACCAGGTAAGCTTTCAATAGCTGACACTTCAGAACAAAATGGACTAAAATTAAGTTTTGTTAGCAAACTACGTCTGGATGACCCTAGATTCTTTGGTCAGGGCTTTGAAAATGAAGTGATCATGGCTTAGGGGTTGTTGGGTGGCCAACTGAAGTGGGGTGCCTGAAGGCAGTGATTGGGAGAAGAAACACTGAAGGTCACCAATGGCCATAACTCTACCAACTCATCAGAACTGTAGTGACCAAGAAAGAATAGAATCAAGAGATTTGGATTCTATCTAGTCCTGGCTCTGCTCCTAACCATCTGGATGGCCTTTGGCTACTCAAGTCCCTACTCTGTACTTCAGTCTCCTCTTCTCAAAAATGTAGGTACTAATATCTGCCTATCTGGCAGGTTTGCAATGAAGATCACAGGTGACACATACATAAAGGCCATGTATATGATATGAGCTAACATTACTGTTATAGTAGACATTCAATGAATGGGAAACAAAGCTAGTTAATGTCCACTTAATGAATTCTAGCCCATAGCTAGCTCAAGGTGTTTTTTGAAGCTGAAAAGTCTTCCGGACTTTTTTTCTGGCAGATCTAATGGTGAAATATCAGGCACCATGAGAGGAAGTTGGGGAGACAATTTTGGGTGGAGACTGGACAGACTTTTGGCACTTCTCAAAACCATACAATGTTGGTTCTTCCCACAACTAAAGCTGGTACTCATTAATGGAAAAGGAGGGGGAACATGGAGGAAAACACAAATGGTGCCCAAACCTGAGCCATCTGGCTCTGAGATCAGCTGACCACACCCAATGTTCAGGGATACAGATAAAAAACCATTTCCTGGTCAAGATCCTTAATGTACCCACCACAAAAGACACACTCAGCCAATGTGTGGCAAGGGGCTTCTGGTGTCTCTGAGGGGAAGTGAATCATGCAAATAAGCTAGCCCAGATGTTACTACGATATAATAATCAGCACTAATTTTTTTTTAAAAAGAATCTACTCTGTTCTCGGCCATGGGTCTTTTAAATGGATGGCATGATTATTGTCCTTGAAATCTTTTTTTTTTTAATTTTCATTGATATCTTTTGTTTTCACACTTCCTTCATTTCTAAATATGTCCCTTCCCACTCCCCAGCACAGCAAACCACCCTTTGTAACAAAGAAATAAAAAAGAGAAGAGATTGGGGAATGGCTAAACAAATTATGGTATCTTAATGTAATAGGATACTTCTGTGCTATAAGAAATGATGACACAAAGGATATAAAGAAGCATGGAAACACTTACATGAACTGATAAAAACTGAGGCAAGCAGAGCCAGGAAAACAACATACAAAATGACTAAAACAAGGTGGATGGAAAGAACAACCACCACAAAATACTTTTCTGTGTGTGTGAGGCAGTTGGGGTTAAGTGACTTGCCCAGGGTCACACAACTAGTGAGTGTTGTATGTCTGAGGCTGGATTTGAAGGTCTTCCTGAAACCAGGGCTGGTGCTCCATTCACTGCACTACCTAGCTGCCCCTACAAAACACTTAAACTCAATTATAATTCAGTTAAATCATAAAGAAAATATATAAGAAGATGTTTCTCCCACTCTAACCCTCCTGCTTTGGCAGAGGTTGGGATTCACGAGTGTGGAACAGTTTACAAAACATTAGAAAAACATCAAGTTTTTCCAATGTGTTGATTGATTTTTGTTGATTTCCTCCCTTATTTCTCTCTCTCTTTTTCCTTTTTTTTTTTAAATGCCCTTTCTATAAGGGACAGATCTCTGAAAGGAAGATGGGAAGGAAATAGGGGAAACAAAGGTTTAAAAGACGTTAATAAAAATCTTAAATTTAAAAAAAAATTTTTTTAAAGAGAAGAAAAAAGGAGTTAAGCAAAAGTAAACAAAGCATCAACTGAGTCTGAAATGTAAACAGTATTCCACACCCATAGTCCCCCAACACTACAAAGAGGGGAGATGCATTTATTTCATCTCTCCTTTAGGGCCAAGCTTAGTTATAATTACACAGCATCCATTTTCAGTTTTTAAAAATTATTTCCTTTTATATCATTGTAATCCTTGTATTACTGAAATTCTGATATCAACTCAATATTTCTGTAGCTCTGTTGCTACAAAGTATTTATATAAATTATTTTATGGGGCCCTTAGGAGAACCTGTTTAAATAACTCATTATCCCCATGTTGTTGTTCTGTTGTTTCAGTAGTGTCTGATTCTTCCTGACCCCATTTG